TGGGATGGATCCCATTTGTTCATGGTATATGATCTTCTTGGGTTTTTAATACAGTTTGCTAATATTTTGCTGAGTATTTTTGCATCTATGTTCATCACAGATATTGGTCTGTAGTTTTCTTTTTTTGTGGTGTCTTTGCCTGGTTTTGGTATTAGAATGATGCTGGCTTCACAGAATGAGTTTGGAAGTATTCCCTCCTCTTCTATTTTTTGGAAAACTTTAAGGGAATGGATATTATGTCTTCTCTAAATGTCTGATAAAATTCAGTGGTGAATCCATCTGGGCATGGGGTTTTGTTCTTATGTAGTTTTTTGATTACCAATTCAATTTCATTACTGGTAATTGTTCTGTTAAGATTTTCTGTTTCTTTCTGGGTCAGTCTTGGAAGGTTGTATTTTTCTACCCCCTTCCTTTTAAAATGTTCACATCACAATGTCTAAATTAATATTCATCATGTCCAGTGGGGGAAACTGCTGTCCTCTCTCCAGGTCTGTCCTTTAGCAGTTAGTTAATATACAACTTGGTGACCTCTTCCTCCTTTACTCATTCTTTCCAGAAGACATAGGGGACACATTTTCTGAGTCCTTACATAACTGAAGACATCTTTATTTTACTCTCACACATGATTGGCATTTGACTGGACATAGAATTCTAGGCTGGAATTCCTTAGATTGTGACTTTATTTTTCCCTTCAGAAACATTTATGATTTCTTTTTGAGGGAAGTGCCCTAGAGTGTCACACTATGTTCCTCATTGTTCATCTATGTTTGCCCAGTACACTATGCCATTCATTCTCTCTTCATCATAGAAACACATCCTTCAGTTCTTGTGAACTTTCTTGTATCAACCCTTCCACAGTTTTCCCCCATAAACTTTGATGTCTGTTCTCTTCTTCTGGAGCTCCTGTTATTCAAAAGTTGTATCTTGGACTGAACCTCTAAATGTTTTAATTAATAGTCTCCTGTCTTTTACTTGTTCTTTATTGGAAATTTCCTGGATTTTATTTTTGACTTACAATTTTCAAAGATTTTCACTTCCAGTTTCCAGCCTGACATGTAAAAAGCTTGAAAATAGTCATTTCATCATAATATCAAGTAAAAAGTTGAAGAAACTATTCAATTAAAAAATGGGCAGAGGAGCTGAACAGAAGTTCTCCAAAGAAGAAATTCAGATGGCCAACAGACACATGAAAAGATGCTCCACATTGCTAGTCATCAGAGAGATGAAAATTAAAACCACAATGAGATGT